TTGGAAAGCTGCACTGTGAAGCTAAGCCAAGCCGGGGCCATGGCCACTTCAGTGCGAGTTTGATCCCAGGCCAGGGAGCTGACCCACATGGCGCGGCAGACCTCTCCTGACCTGCTTGCTGCTCCCCTCAACAGTGTACCTAGTTGATTCTGCCTGTTCTGCCCCCGACTGTTTCTGGTGAATCCTCTCACCGCCCCTGCACCACTGCCCTGTACCCCAGTTCTATATGCATAAATTTCTGTATGTATAAATAAAATCTTAAAAAAAAAAAAACAATGAGAAAGGACACTATTGGGGTCACACTTTGGGAAATGATGATGGAAAATGGCATCTCACCATCCTGAAAGGTACTTCAAGGTAAGTCTGCACAAAATGGGTGTCAGAGGATGAGAGAAGAGCCTGGTGACAGGAGGCAGTGTGGGGAGTGGTTAGAGCCTAAGCTGTGTGGCTGTGTGGACCTGAGTTCAAATCCTATCTCTACCACTAACCCTGCTATGTGATCATGTTAGCTCGTAGCAGATAGGTAAGCATGACCGATGCTTAATGAGAAGAAGAAAAAGAGAAAAACTGTTTTTCATCAGTAGAATCACAAACAACAGGAAACAAGTCCTTAGTGCTCTGCCTCAAGTGACCCCTGTTAAAAAACCACACTGCACGTGCGTCTGGGGTCCCACAAGCCAAAGGTAACCTTTTCACGGCAGTTGTTTTTTGTTTTTTTATAATATAATAGTTTATTTTCACATCTCATCTCAGTTGTAATCCCCATGGGTTTCCCATCACCAAGCCACCCACCTTTTCATGGCAGTTTCTATTTTCTGACCCACTACAAGGGACTATCCCTAGCGTTCTCCTGCTTTTAATCAGTGAGTTCTTGAGCTAAAGGAAAAATTAATTTCGGCATAAACCGTGGCTTCCCTTTCACAACAAAGAAGGCAAAACTCTTGTTAGTTTTGGAGACGAATCACACCCCAAGTGTAAATCACATCTGGACGCACTGACTGTCTGGCATCATTTCTTCTCTTTGATATTATGAATGGAATGCGGCTACGTTGCCCAGGGTGAGGGTAACTGAGAATTGACCTGTTCATTTTCTAATACAAGTTGAGGAGGGGACCAAACAAAGTAATAAAAACAACCAAAAAGGCAGAACAACAATGGAGAGAATGGGTGAACAGCTGAACAGGGACTGGAAGCCGACATTCGCCAAGCAGTCAGTGCGCGCCAGACACCCATGCTAAGCGCTTCATGAATCGTCTTAAGGTCTCAGCTCTCCAAGCTAAGTACAATGCGATTCCCCTACGACCGTGAGGCAGCGAGGCTCAGGGAGAACCAGGACCTGTTGGAGGGCACATGACATGTCAGTCACCCTGGGGCTGAGACCCCGGCTTGTCTGACCCCAAAGCCCGTCCTCCTAGTAACCACATTACCCATCAGCAGCATGTAGGAGGGGGCAGCCACGAAAGGCTGAATAGTAAACAGTCCAGAGAGCGATGGTCACCCAGTGCCGAGAAACTCTAGGGGGCGCGCCGCTGCAGACCCAGAGAAGGCTCCTTGTCACCTGAGGTCCTGGGGCCGCTGACAGTCAGAGCTCAGGCCTCGGTTTGGCCCTTTGTGCTGTGCTGCCTGTAGCCAGCCTCAGTCTCTCTCTCGAGCATCAGTTTAAAATGAGAACTTTGGGTTCTGTAACCACGGAGGCTCCTTTGGACTCTTAACCAATAGTCTTTAATAGTCTAAGATTTTCTTTTTTAAAAAAGTGTGTTTTCTGAGTAGTGGACAGGCGTGTGGGAGGGTCAGTGCCTCTCCTTCCGGAGAAGAGTGAGGGGTGCAGTCCTCCAGCACCGTGAGGGGCGCCAGCAGCAGGAGCTGCCTCCTCCTGGGAAGATCTGCTCGTTGCCCAACACCAGGGCTCTTCTGGCTTGGGTAGGACTCCCAAAAGATGACCCAGAGGCACAATCAAAGGGATTCTCGTATGCAGTGAAGGCTTGACACTGGGGAGTGAATTTAGCTAAACCAAAATCTCCACTGGATTATGTGACACTTCTGAAGGACAGAGAGGTCACTCTCCTGAAGACTTTGTAGCAGGCTGGATCAGTAAAGCTGGTGAACATTTCACTACAGGAAAATGATGGCGTCAAAACAGCCTGGCGGGCCCCCAGGTGGTGCAACGGGTTAAAGCACAGCACTATGAAGCGGTCAAGTGGTCACAGCCATG